GGAAAGGTTCAACCTGCTTTCTCAGAGCTTCCTGTTCCAGGACTTCTCCACTTCTCAGACAAGATGTGAATGCCCCGTGCCTGGAGGTGCTCGAGGCCAGGCTGGATGAGGCCCTGCACAACCTGGTCCAGTGCCTGCGTTAGTGCTTGGCAATCCTGCCTGTGAAGGTGGGCTGGAATTATTTGATCTTACAGGTGCCTTCCAACCCAAGCCATCCCATGACTCCACACACCTTCATTCAAGAGTGCCCTCTCTCCCCTCACCGTGCTCTACCTCTCCTATAGCAAAAGAATGTTCCTACCTCTTCTTTGGTCTTCACCTTGGGAACATTTCTCCGATAGCAGAGGAGACACACAGGAACATGCTCCTCACCTTAGGTGAGCTTGCCAGAAAATACGCCAGCTCTGGGAGACAAAAGCCATAGCTCTGTGCTACAAGCCGTGAGAGCCCAGCTGTGCAAAAGGCAGCGATGTCTGGAGGATGGGAGGGATGGATGGGATGTGCCTGTGCACAGGACAGAACCTGCATGTGTATTTTTGAACAGCATGCAGGAGTGGGTGCTGATCTTTAATTTCTTTATCCTTCCAACTCTGTAGGCTGCAAGCAGCAATGTTTGCCTTGGCAGCTTGCTCTCCCTCTGCCTCTTCAGGGTGTGTACTTCGTAGGGCTGCTGCCTTGCCTTGCTCTTAGTTCTCAGCCCCTTGAGCCAAATCTTGGATAGAATGAGCATCTGCACTCACCTCTGCAGTGAACGGGCACCTGTGCTGCTGCCTGCTCAGGGGCTCCCTGCTCTGCCCAAGGGTTCAAACCACAAAGACCACCTCAAACAAGTGAACATCAGCCCCCAAACAACGCTCAGACCCCACACTGCACCTCAGCTGCAATGCCTGTCCCGTTCACACAGAGAAACCACTTCACACATACTGCTCCACGTTGGCTTCACACAACTGCTTGGACAAAAGGGCAGAATGAGGTGCTGTGACCTCCAGCCCCTCTCAGGCCCCGTGCTCCCTCACACCACCACGTGCTGTGGATCCTGAGGCAGCCCACGTCCTGGCGGCGCAGGCACAGCCTGCCCACAGGGATGCTCTCCACTCACTGCTGTGTCTCTGCATTAATCCTGATGCCCAGCCATGTGAGTTACTGCTGCTGCATCTCAACCTCTGGTGCATTCCCAGAGTCTCTCTCTGCTCTAGTGCTGCTGCTGGCCGTAATTTTCCATTCCTGTGGCCCTGCATTCCCAAGCCCTCGCTGTATCCATGAGTTCTTTCCCTGCATTTTAGTGCCCCCACTGCTGCTCTCAAGCTGCCCATATTCCCAGCTTGGATCAATACCAATTTCTGCCACTTACTCGCCTACCTTTCAGCAGCCCTTCTTTGTTCTGCGTAGAAATAAAACAGGAACTGCATCTCGCCAGAAGAATTACTTTTTAAAAAATCCTCCCTCCCCTTCTCTCCCTCCATTCTTCTTTCCCTTCTTCAGGAGCAATTTTACGTAATTTGCAACTGTCTCCCTGCAAATGAAAAGCAACACAAAGCGCTTCTGCGAAACGCTGAAAAGCTGGCTGCTTTTCCCTCAAATTTCACTTAGCAAGAGGCTTTAACTTGGTGTGTGATCACTGTGCGTCATTAATAACCTCTCCAGTTCCTTTCAGAACTCAGCAAAGTGAAGGCACAATCACGAATCAAAGGCATGGGTTATTGAGATATAATATCATCTCACTGAGCCAGGGAGCAGCAAGGAGGTGAAATGCTGCTAGGCTGGCTGGCAGCTGAAGAGGACAATGGATTTAAGAAGGAGCACGAGAAATTGGTTTTCTCTCTGCATTTCAGATCCAAAGAATCTGCTTCTGCTCGGCCTCCACGGGCTGCTTGTCTTTCCTCAAACCTCGCAGACCTGACCTCTCTGTTCTAGGAAGCTCCATCATTCCTTTCCCAAGGGAGAATCCAAGCACTTGTTAATTCCAGACTGGACCGGCAGCGGTTCTGATGACAACACAGGTGTTCTGTACCTCTGAACACGAGCTGCAGGCAACGCAGTGCACAGCTGACAGCCTCCTTGCTTTGCACCCCGACTGCACCAACGCCTGGGAAAAGGGAGCGAACTGAAAATCTGGCTGCTTTCAGAAAAAGATGCTGAACCTCACTGTCCAAAACGCGCTATTTTGGGTTTAACACTTGGATTCCATTTAGCTGCCGCTTATTTAAAGATAAACAGACGAAATAAAAATCACAGCGCAAAGAGGATTTCATCCCCAGAAGAGAGAACTTGCCAGAAACACCATAAAAGCCAACAGAGACCACGGTGATTGCTGCTGATTTATGCAGAAAACCGACAGCAATCAGCAGCCATTTAAGAGCTCAGGACAGCCACGCTGCAGGCATGACACTGCTGGAGCAGCGTGGCAGCGTTCCTTGGGCTGGCAGCCCTCACATCCAAGCCACAGGGCACAGGTAGCACACGTGGGTGCAGAGCAAACCCAGAGATCAATGTGGGAAGAGAAGCAGCAGCCCTGCTCCAGATCACCTGCCAAGCTGCATGCTCACAGCACGAGGACCGAGAAGAAACCGGTTCACAGCACCTCCCTAAGCCTGCCATTAGCACACAGACCAAGAGAGCCATTTGTCTGAGATCAACCACCAGTCTGTGCTGCACTGAGACCAACAAAGGGAGAACTTCTTTCCTGTGGCATCCCCAGCTGCTCTGCAACACAACAGCAAGAGCAGCACAGCCAACAAAGCCATGCTGTGTCCTGTTCCAGTCTCTGCTGCCTCTGAAGGTGCTGCCCCCTGCTCATGCAATTCAGATAAAAGTTTGTTACCCCACACCAACACCACGTGCTCTTAAACTTTCTGCCTGCCATTCTCTGATAAGACATGAAATGGGTAAAATGAACCAAAAAATGCAGACCACAGCCCACGTACTGAAATCCCAGAGCTGTGGTCCACTACGTTCCCTTCTCTGTCCTATGTTAGGGTCCTCACCATATTTTTGGTGAGAACTTTTTCCACAGTTCCTGAGATGTTCCAGCTGTGAATGCATGCAGAAGAAACGTCACAGCCTTGCTCCCACAGCAGGGAAACGATCACTTACCCAGCACTCCTGCCTGTGTCTAAGTTCCAGAATATTCTCTGTGACCAACTGGGATGGGTGATACTCCATGGAAACAGGCAACCCAGGTTAAGAAGAGGGGGCTGGAAGCTGCCTCAGGTCGAGCAGCCCATGTCCACGCTAAGATCAGCTCTGCCCAAATCAGAACAGAGGCCGTTTCGTTCTGGCAGTGACCACCTCTAAATGAATGAAGTGGTCAAATGACCTCCTGCCTTCTCGTTCACAGAAGGAATTCCCAAAAGAGGAATGCAGTGTGATAAAGCAATAAGCTGCCAGCCTGAAGATCGACAGCTCCACATACTGCACAGTTCATCTGTATCTTAATCCCGAAGCTTAATTACAGCACACTGCTCATTAACTGTCTCAAGATTCACATGTTTGGAAGCACTCCGCTAGCACACACTGCTTTTTCTTACACCTCCCTTAACAAAATAGATGATCACATTTAGATCATCACACCCCAAACGGACGCGCTTTGCATTGCTGCTTTAAGCACTGGCAGCACAAACACAGCAGACCATGCAGAAGATCCCCAATGCAGGCATGCAGCAAAACTGAGATGGCTTCGAACGCGCTGAGCCTCGCAGGAACAACCTGCCAGGGTGCTGCAACCCTGGGCAGGGCCGTGGCTGTGCCACACTGCTGTACCATGACTCATCACAGCTGCTCCTCCATCCTTCAGCTATTTCTTACAGTCTGCCTGCTCTGCCCGGGACCACTGCACACAGCAGATTACACAGAATTAACTCCAATGGCAGCTGAGAACCTGGCTGTCTGCACTCTGCCCCTCTGCTGTCCTCACATAACCTGAAACTGTAAAGATTCTATCAAGTGGCAATCGAGAGAGGCACATTTCCTGGCCCTCTGATGCCAGCCCACGGGAAAAGAGAGCACAGATACACAAACAGGAAAATACGTGTGTGTGTAAAGGTCTTCAGGGGAGCTGGGAGGGGAGCAGACTGGACCTGTATGGGTTAAAGAGGAAACATCATGGCTAAGAATTTCTAACCCTTCTCCAGAGTCCCCTGGTTTACATTAATTATCCTGCTGCCTTGAGCACTCAGGGCCTCCTGTGGGCTTCTGTCTACAAGTACCCAGCTCCTCCACCTACTCAACTACAAATGAATCTTTCCAGTGCGTTTGCTCAACCCTCTCAGCACAGCGAGGGAATTGCCCAGTCAAAGCCCTCACACTGCACAGAAGCAGGAATGGCACTGATTCTAAACTCCCAGCTCACCAGCAGGTCCCAAGGAAGCAGAGGCTTGCCTGCAATGAGGGACCTGACCCAAAACAGCTGACTGCTCAGGATCCCTACTGCACTTTGCTCTCTGCACAGATGTAAACTCAGCAGGTCTCACCTGAGGGACAAGCCACAGTTACTGCAGCAGAATTGGTTTCATCTATATAACTCATTGCTTTTCCAAACTATGGGACGTGCCAAGTAGGTTTCTTCCTCTGAGAAGCTGATGGAGATCAGCACAGATCCACCCAACAAAGTGCCCAGGCACCACAGTCTGCTGGAACTGGGAGCAGATGGACCAGCAAGTTCTGTGCTCTTGGAAGAAAAGGATCTGGTACCTTCTGTTGTGACTCCTGTCAGCTTCCCAGCATGGCTGCAGTGCAGGCCGAGGATACAAACGTCACCCCAAGAGCAGCACAGCTCCCTAATGACAGCAACACACAGCTGGAGGTGCCACATCCCACCACTGAGACCAAGGAACAGCACAGAAATAGGGATGGCTGGAGTTACGTGGGGCAGCCTTGGTAGGACAGACAAAGAGCAGCAGCTGGGCAAAGAGCGCTCCTCTTTCCCAGGCCACTTTTACAGCCCTGCTCCCTCCCCAGCAACCTCCTGCTCGCCAACCCGTGCACAGTGTGCTGGAACTTACCCCTGGCAAAGTCTTCTGTTCGTGCAGTGCTGTCTGGGCCTTGATAGCAGAGTCTCTGGCACAGTACGTGAGGAATGCACAACCTGCAGGGACACAGCAAGCATCAAGTTAAACGTGCAACTGCAGATGCACAGCAACACAGTATTTCTCTTTGGTAAGAGCAGGTGACCAAGGTACCTAAATACTGGCCTGTGCCAGCAGACCTGTGCTCCAACTGTCCTGCTAAAGATGGAGTGCCCAGGACAGCCCTTGTGTGAGACCTGACTTCTTCATTAGCAGAGGGAGAGTGGAAGGTTTGCTAATTAAAGGAGCAAATGTTATGAAATCTGGAGGTACTGCAGTCTCTAGGGAAAAAGGCAAAGAAATAACATTAAAGGCCCTGCAGGTCTCATCTGAGGTCTGTTCAGCCATGGCAAAGGGTCCCAGGGAATCGCATCAGTGTGAAATAGGTGTTGAGCAAAGTGAGAAACAACAGGAGAGCAAACAGCAGGGTAGCACTGCCTGTGGAGAAACAGCCCAAGCCACAAAGAACAGAAGGGTGCAGGAACCAATATGGCTATTGATAGAAAATAAAACAAGCCATGGACAAAGCAAAAGCAAAACCTGAGAAGCATCACGATCCAGCCCCATGGAGCCCTAGAAAGCCACAGCAGGACGGGTTTGGCTTCCTGTGCCACACTGCCACCCATGATGGGGGAAACGGGGAACAGCAAAGCACAACGCACTCTGCAAGCACTGACCGAGGAAGGGAGATGTAAAGCATAAGGAAAAGGCCAGATCCTGACGTTCTCAGCCAAAGTCTGACCCAACATCTTAGCCTAAAACTGGAATCGGGGATGAGGGGAAGAATTGTGGTCCCTCCAGGAAGAAAAGGGATCATCTCTGGATGCTCTGATGCTCAGAACGATCACACGAAACTAACCAAAGGAAGAAAAATTGGCTGATTATCAAGAAACATGTCCTGGCAGAGGGAAATTTATTAGACTGTGGAATGATCTCCCCGGGGAAGTGCCTGGAGCTCTGTCACTTGAGTTGTTTCAGATGAGGCTGGAGAACAGACTCAGACGTGTGTGACTCCCTCACTCATCCCCCTCCTCTTCCCAGCAGCATTTCCCATCCTCAGCAGAAGCAAGACGCGTCCCTTCGGCCTGGCGCTGAATGCCAACGTGCCCAGAGCTGTGCTGGGCTCGCAGATGCATCGGTGCAGCCCAACCAAAGCCTCATCTTCTGCCTCCAAAACCACTTCAGAGCCCCATGGATCCAATGGGGGGCACAGGACGAAGCCTGCATGGAGCTCTCAGAATGTTTTCAGGCCATGTGGAAGCCAGCTGCTCAAGACAATCCCAACCCATGGCAGCAGATTATGCTATTCTTCCATCCCGGCTCCCAGAAATTGCTGCAGCTGAGCAAATCATAGCCATCCTTACAGCTCTTGCTAGAAAAAACAACAACAACACAAAGCCACCACCCTCCATGAATAGCACACATACAGGACTGGATGCCTCTAACAGAGAATTAAAGCTCCTTACTGCACACGTTGGATACCAAGAATGCTGCACCGAGGCCAGATGTGGGATCCACAGCTTATTTAACAAGCACAGCAGGGACAGGAAACATGCAGGTAGCAAAGGCAGCCGGCCTCACTTTGGGGGAGATGCACCCCTTTGCTTTCTCTCATCCCTTTGCTTTCTCTCACCCCTCAAAAGCACTCATGTAACCACAGAGCCCATTTCTGACACGCACAGATTCAAAGTTCCAAACCCAGATGCTTTCCTGCCCGCTTCCACCCACTGCAATGGTCTGCTGCTCTGCAGAGCTGGGACAAATCACACAACGTCTATACTGAGATCATCAGTCTGCATTAACCTCAAACAAAAGCCTGCTCATCAACCTGTTGTACCTGAGAAGCTCACGTTTGCTTCTAAGCAGCAGAAATGCAGGAGGCTGCAAAGAGCAAGGAGTAAAGAAGGTCAGCTGCAACCTTTGGACAACACGACTGCTGTCCCCCCACAGCCAGATGAGCTGGAGATGGGATGCAGAAGTCAAAGCCCTGGTCAGAAATGCAGGAAGGGGTTTTCCAGAAGCACTAATGGAAATGTCAATGGAAAGAAATACTTGGGGGAAAACATCCTTCTCTCTGAAGAGACATCATCTCTTGCTACTCCTGAGGATGCAGCCAGTAAGCAGAGCACCAGTGAAGCTTGCAGAAGTACCAGAAGCTCGTGGAAGCAGAAAGAGATTCCACACTGTGACAGGACCTTGCTTACCATGGCTTTGGTAAGCAGGTTTGGTAAGCAGGTTTAGGGTTCCTCCTAAAACTCTGAGCCTTACAGAGACTCCCAGAAAAGAAGACGAGAGCAGAGTGCTTCTCTCCCCATTAATCCCCTCAGCAGTGAGAAAGCAACCACAGGGGTGCAGAGGGGCCCACGTCTCTCTCGTTTTGCATTTCCTGCTTTAGCTAACAGCAGACACAGGATCACAGAATCGCAAGGTTGGAAACGACCTGCAACAACCACCCTCCCATTTCTATCAGCACCACAAGCTACTAAACCATATCTTGTAGCTCCTCATCCAGGTGCCTCTTGAACACTGCCAGGGACGGCGACTCCACCACCTCCCTGGGCAGCCATTGCAGTGCCTGACCATGGATTCAGGTGAGTGGCAGCAGGCTTATGGCATTCTGGACACTTCCAGCACCCACAGCGTTGTGCCTGCTGAGATGGTGCTGAAGAGCCCTGGGGCTCTCAGGAAACCAAACGCCGTCCAACTGAAAACCCCAGCACAGGTTGTCCACAGGGATGGGGAATGATGGCACACTGCTACTGCACACAGACCTCACAGGAGGCCAACTCTGTCCTCCAGAGAGAGCATTTATTGATGGCACTGCTTTGCTTTGCCACCCTCTGGCACCTGCTCTCCTTCAGCTCCCCTGTGCGTGTGACCATGAGTAATTAGTTCATTAAACCTTGCAAAAAGATAAACAGGAGGGGAGGACGGACTTGACCAGTCATTGGCTTTCAGAGGCCAGTCTGCAGCACAGGAAGACAGCAAGAGCAGCCAGGGGGCAGGAATTCAGGGAGGCTGGGCATTGAAACAAACAGGACGGTGAAGTTAGCAGGAAACCCCCTCCACAGGTTGCATGGATATACGCCTACCTGCTGTCTGAAACTGAAACTAATTCCTGTCCCACGAATTGCAGCTTCACCTTGGGACCACGCGTGGTCTCACACCTCCCGGCGCTGGATGCCCCCTCAGTGGACAGAACTCGCATTTTCGTCACGTTTTGGCTTTGCTTCTAAGAGGCAATGGGCTGCACGGCCCTTGGCTCACTGCAGGGGTGGCTGCACAGCTTGTGCGAGTGCTGCTCTCTGAGAACCACGCGTAGGCTGAGCTGCGTCAAACTGCTACCTGCCCATCCACCTCCCACTGCCTGCAGGAGGGTTTCCAGCTCCCTGCAAGCAGAACCCAGCCTTGTTCCACTTGCAAGACGCTGCAGCGAGAAGAAGACACGCCGTGCCTGATTCTACCTGCAAACCACACGTGGACTGTGGGATTTCAATCCCTTCAGATCCTGAATGTTACTCCAGACATCGGCAGCCGAAGGCCTTGAGTAAGAAAAGGCTGTCAGTTTGCAGAAGAGAGGGCCTGCCAGATTCAACTTCCCATTTAAAATCCTGTCAAACACTACAGCAGGGGAAGCACGGAGTCAGCAGGCTGCTTATCTTCAAGCCTACAGAAGCTGAGTCAAAACTCAGCTGCCGGTGAGGCACAGGAGGATGAGGCTGTTGTTGCCCTTTGGAAAAGTCACTCACCTGTCTCCAGATGCCCCATGAGAGGGGCTGCTCTTGCGATGCCATTCCCCAGCAGCTGAGCTCCGTATCTCACAGTACAGCTTCCCTGCTTCCTCTCCAATGGACGTTGCTAGGAAATCCATCTATGAGAGCACTCCTTGCTTTATGCCCAATCCTGGAAACTGGGGACAGCATTTTCTTCTCCATTCTCCCTGCTCAGAGCCCTGTGACCCATTCCAAGAGCCTGCTCTAATAAACAGCTCCCTGCTCTTTCTGTAAAGACATTAGCATTAAGGAAAACACCGCCATTAACATGCAAATGTACCTGTGATTAACACAAATAGAAACACTGCCTCATAAATAATATCAGGGAATTGGAACAGTACCAACTGCCAGTAGCCAGGTTACTGAGACCATAAATAAACAGGCTCTACCAAAACCGTGTGGTAACTGAGCTCATGTCTCCATCCGCCTCCTCTACCTCCACCAAATTCCCCAGCTCTCAGCACAGGTGAAGAACAGCCCCCAGGGTTTGGTTCTTGGACTCCACAGCCCAACTCCCAGCTTACTGCCCCTGGCTGGGCACAAAGAGCACCTTATTTTTCCACCTTTCCGTCCACCCTGGAAGCAGAAGGAGCTGCTCGGCTCCTGGTGTCAAGGTGCAAAGGGCTGCAAGAAAAGCTGATGGTCTTTGCCAGCAGTGCTGGCCTCTCAGATGAGTGCTTCTCCTCATTTTGGAGAAGGAAAAAGCAGATGGAAGATGCCTGCGAGCCGTCAGTTGGATCTGGGAACACGGGGAGAGAAAATACTTCAACCTACCAAGGATGATGATGGTTTCTGTACGGTGCAGGGATTGGTGCACAGGATCTGCCAAAGCCTTCCACGGCCCTGGGGAAGCAAAGCCCTGCCTGGTGCCACTGCCAACACCCTGCTGGTAACACAGGGAGCAGAGCAGCTCCTGCACCAACACAGCCAGACCCAGTGGGATGGGAGGGGAACACTGGGACCAGGGACGCCTAGATTACGTATTTGATTTCTTCACTCCCTTATCTAATAGAATCTCTAGAATCTGGCTCCAGAAGCATAAATAACCACAGACCACACAGTCCATATTCAGTAAGCCAACTGCAAGGAAATGTGCCTTCACCTCATGCCTTGGGTCCATTCTCCTCCCTCCAGCCTTGAAAGCTCACTGCTTACCATCAGATGGTCACAGGTTTGGGCTCCCCGTGCACACACACACAAACCCATCTTGGTTCTAAGTCACATTTACACCTTCAGCTAAATCCAAGCCAGCCCAACTCTGTTAGGCTTCAATGAGGAACTTTTCTATTTTTCCACCGGGGTTAAATTAGACCTTTTGCTTGGAAATAAACTTCTCTTTCCGCATCCCTTCCCCTCTCTGTTCAGTCCAGAAGCACTGGGCTTGCTGGCTTTTTTAAGTGTTCTCCACAAGAAGAAACCAAAGGCATCAGGGCTGGATGCGACTCACACTCCTTCCATCACAAAGCATCTCAGCTCCGAGGGCTGAGCTCTGACAGCTTTAAGGGTACTTACTGTGGGTTCCCTGCAGGTTCCATCTGAGCGTGCCAGGGAGTGGTGCTGAGATCACTACATCAAACGGCACAGCAAATGGGCTCTGTGCATTCCCACTCAGTGCCTGAGCGGTGGTGATTGTAAGATCCTAAACACCTGCTAAGAGTGAGCTGGAACGGCTCCACAGAGGGAGCTGACATGCAGAACACGACGGCTATTCAAAACACGGCTTTCAAACACAACAACTGTAGCTAAACAAGCCCCCCCGAACTTTCTTTTTTTTTTTTTTTTTGCATCTACTGAAGGTCTTTCGGCGATCCGGCACTCCAGAAGGCCCCTCTCATCTCTCCTAAAGGCCGCGGTAAACAGCACACCGACCGCTAATATTCTTTGTTACGCAGACTTTACCGTGGCACTGCTGTATCGCAGCCAGGGACGGCTGAGAGCACAGGGAAAAACGCTGCTCTGTACCGCGGGATTCCCGACCCCTCGCCTCCGGCCGCGACCTGCCCACCACGGGCCGTGACCCGCACACGGCCAGCCGCACACCGGCCCTTTGTCACAGCACCGGCCCGGCTCCCAGCGGGGGCAGCCGCGGAGCCGCAGCGCGACCCGGTGTGGCCCATCTCTCGGCGCCGACCCCATCCCCGCCCCTCGGCGGCGGTTCGGGGGTGCCGACCCTCACCTGAGGTGGGGGGGAGGAAGGGAGGAAGCGGAACATAATGGGGGGGTCGGCTGCGGAACGCGGTGGTCGCGCGTGGGGTGGCCCCGCAGGACCCACGAGGAGCCGCCCCCGCCAGCAGGCCGTGCCCCGCCGCGTGCCGGGGGACCCCTCACCCTTGTGCATGCCGGTGTAGCGGTCCTTGAGCACGGTGAGCTCGTAGATCTTGCCGAACTGCTCGAAGAGCGGCTTGAGGTCCTTCTCCTCCAGGTTGCGCGGGATCTGCCCCACGAAGAGCTTGATGGCATCCAGGTCCTTCATGCTGTCGGGCTGCGCGGGGGGCTCCGCGCCGCCGCTGCTGCTCATGGGGGAGGCTCGGCGCGGCGGCGGGGGCTGCGGCGCGGGCGGGAGCGGCGGCGGCTGCGGCTGCCTCCTCGCCTCGCCCTCGCGGAGTCTGGCCATGCCCCGCGCCCGGCGCGGCTGCGGGCGGACGGGGGAGGCAGCGCGCCTGGGAACGGCCCCGCCGCCCGCGCCGCCGCCGCGCAGCCACAAAGGAGCGCGCTATGGCGCCCCCTGGCGGCGCACGGCGCTACGGAGGCGCTGCGGGGCGGCGGTGGGCGATGGCGCTCCGAGCGATGCTCGGGGAGGAAGCGGCGCGGCGCGGCTCCGTTCCGGCTGCGGATCCCGGCAGACCCCGCTCAGGCCGCGCCGGGTGAGGCGCAGCCATAGCGGAGCGGCTGCCGCCGCCCCCGAGCTCAGACCTGCCTCCCTATGTGACAACGGGGGCTGCCGTCCCAGCAGCTCCTCCGGCTGCGGTGGATGCTGTGAGGCAGCAGAGGAAAAGCAGCACGTTTTGGATGGCCTGGGCTGCTCCCATCTCTGCTACATCGGGGTGACACTGAAGCGCCAACCAGCCCCCAGTTCTGCCCCTCGAGAAGCAGCTGCTTTCATAAGATTGGCCTCTGCTTCCCCTCAGCTCTGCTCCCGACTGGGCATCGTGGATGGAAATGGCTGCTTTACAACCTTCCATCTGATTCCCCAGGGCTGGGACAGAACCACCGAGCCTTCCCAGCACCACGGGTTCATGCCTTTGGCACACACAGGAGCACCCAGCAAGCCTTCATAACCAGCAGAGCTTTTCTGCCAAGGAAGCAGGAGAGGGGCTTGGACAGCAGTAATTGCAGCCCTGCCCACACACAAAGCTTCATCTTTGTACTGAGGAACGGCCATCAGGACAGACAGCCCTGCACTCGCTGTCGGATGACCCGAGGTGAGCAGCAGCACAACCTCTTCACAGTCACACGCAGCCAAGAGCTCTCAGCCCAAGGACTGCTTCACTTCCAAGAGCAGCGCGAGCAGCCCGGCTGTGTGACACAGCACAGCAGCACACCCAGGCTCTCAGCGGCCAGAGGGCCGCGGCACTTTGCTGTGTGAGCACAGGACGAGGGGGAAGGCAGCAGTCACTGAGCTGCCCACCCTCACACCCCTGAGCCCTTCACTCAGTTGAGATGGTTTGATGGTTTTCCCCCCCTCACGCCCTCCTGCTATCCCTACTGGAAGTGACGGCAGCTCGGAACTCAGCCTTTAGGAAAGCCTACTTTCCATTCACAGCTCCGCCCCACATCCTGCACTCAGCCCCGCGCTGTCACAGCCCAGCACCTCTACAGAACAACGGCTCCAGTACCTCCTACTCCACCAAGGTGTTGCAAGTGTCACAGGGATATATTTAAGAGCAGGAAGCACTTGGATACTATGGAAACCAGGGCAAGGAGAGAACCCAAAATAGACAGAAGACGCAGGCTGCTGCAAAGTCTGTTGAAGTCTTGCTGAGGAGGGCTGTGCTTGCTGCAGCTGATCCTGGAGTGTGAAGCATTTGGAGCCCAAGCAGAAAATACCCTCTCTCTCTATTCTTCCCATAGCTTGCCATCTTAGGCTTTTAATTTCCCTCTTTAATAAGCCTCCAAAGTTCCTTTGAATGATTGCCATTCTTCCTCCCCACAGCCTGGAGCAGGCTGCTGTCTGACTGCTTCTACACAGGAGTATTGGGAATGTGTGAGAACAAACAGGACAGAGCACTCCTGAAAGGAGAACTGCAACCTGCAGACACCTGAAACTAGGAGCTGAAGTGCAGTATTTCACAGGCTGGCAACTCTTTGTAATGCCAATGCATTTATTGTGTGTGTTCACCCTCTACAAACCAACCATTCTCTGAAGTGTAACAGCTTCCTTCACTCCATGAATAAAAAAAAATAAAATGAAAGGAATCCCAACAACGCAGAGAATACTTGAAATACCCAGAACGGCAAGTGGAAAAGATAGAAAAGACGATGGCTTGAGGTATACAAGCCATCTCACTCAGCACTCAACCAAGTGGAGGACAGAAAAGATGCAGAGCAGCCAAAGCTGCAGACTGGCAGCCGTGCCCCCTGGAAAGCCAGGCTGCAGCTGTGTCCTCCCAAGCACTCAGAGCTGCTCGGCTCCCTCGCTCGCATGGATCTCGTGTCTCCCTGAGACCAGGAGGGCTGAAATCCTTACACCGGCTCGAGTCCCACGTGCTCATTACAAGTGTCAGAGACATTTCCATTTTCATTACCACCACCTCTGTGCAGAAAAGCCCGCGTGGCCAAGGAAAAGCGCCAGGTGAGATTTCTTGGCCCCATCGTTCTCAGCTCACTCCAGGGGAACCAAACAGATTGAAGACGTCCAACATCCTCCATCTCAGAATTTCTTGACTGCAGCATCAATCTCAGGAATTATCTCCTTCAGCTGGTTCCACTGTTCTGCAGACAGAGCAATGCCTGGAAACAGCAGAAAGGGCGTTGGGAGCAAGCAGTCAGCATCAAGCTGCATCCCACAGCAGCTCCTTCGAAAGAGTTACAGAAGGAAAAGGTGCAGCCTGAGCCCAGAAAAGAAACAGGGGCAGCCTGCTGAGCACAGCAATTGTGTCAGTGCTTCAGCATCCATATCAGCAAGTACTCAGTGCTATCACAAAAGCACTGTGTGAGAACAGGAGATCAAGCTGCCTTTCAAGGAGTTCTGCAACCTCTTGTAGTCTGTTCCTTGGGAAAATTCCCACCTCCGTGAGCTGGAAAGAGATTTTAGGAAAGCCTTGCTGTACCCAGCAGTTAGAGAACCGTCCTTTCCACCACCCAAAGGAAATGCCAGCTCTAGCTCTATTTAGAAAAGCTGCTGCTAACAAGAAACCACGACTATAGCTTAAACTCTAGAAAAGAGCTGGCTTTTTATTTTTAAGACCAGTAGAGATAAAGTCTTCATTTCCCTTCCCTCTCCTTTAGGAAACAAATACAGTCATGGAATTGCAGAGTGGGGTCCAGCTAAACGTTATCAACTTGTTCCTTATGGCTTTGTTAAAGAATGAGGGCTGAGCTTTATTAATTTCTCTAGATAAAAATCAGGGGCCAACAACTCCTGAGAAAAAACAGCAGAGGCATTAATTAAATGAAAAACATTTCCTCCTGATTTCTATTCTAGCTAACAGATGTTCTGTTTTCGGTTGCAAGTGTGCTTTTTCCAGCCTGGAAGGTGCCCACAATGCTCCTTTCCCTCTCCACCCCAACGGGCACAGAAAGGTTTCATTGCTCTGCTCCCAACTTCCAGGGTAAGCAATACCCTCTGAGTAATTTATAGCAGTCTCTTCCTTGAAGGAAATTAATTTCTGCAAGGAAAACCGTGCTTAGTGGTTATGGAGCAAACCAAGCTCAAAGAAATTCATCTGCCTTAACACAAAAATCAATAGGAAGAATCAAAACATTCCTCAATTTGTCTCACAGGAGCTGCATCTTTGGTGAGCCCTACAGCATGCCTGGCAGGAGAGAAGAGCAACGTAACGGTCTGGGGCCTGTGAACCTCAAGGCAAGCTGGCAAGTCATTGTTAAAGTCTCAAAGCAAAAGGTCTAAGCTGAATAGTGACCCATCAGTGAAAAACCAAAGGCAGGCTGGGAGAGCCCAGCACAGCCTGCAGACACCACCCAGAGAAGCCAGCAGTACCTTTTCTCCCCGGTTTCATGTCCCCCTCCTTATCCGTGTAGAACTCCCTGATGTCCACCAGCACCTTCCCCTTGAAGCAGGACACTCGGACGTAGCGCAGCTTCCCAATCTGCAGGAACACAGAGCCAGCATTGAGCTCTGCTCCACAATGAGCTGCTCTGCAGCCCACGGGGTTGCTCACAACACCAGAGGAGCAGCAGGGGAGCAGCAGGCATCCTAAGAAGCCAATTCAGCTACAGAAGAGGCGAAGGGGAGACCTGTGCCAAGAAAGGAAGGTATGAAGAGGAGCACGAAGAGGAAGGGGGCTGTGCCCTCCATACCTGGAACATGCCCTCTTCTTCACTGTCCCGTCCCTGGCGCTTTGCTGCCACTCTCGAAGGCTTGGCCTCCATTTTGGGCCGTTTCTCTGACTTCGAAGGCATTTCTTTCTTCCTTTTCTAGAGAGAGAGGGATCACCATTTTCAACAGCATGGTCTAAAAGCTGCAGGCCTCTCCCTGAGCCTTCAGTGCCTGTGCTCACTAACAGCATCCACTGCTCACAGGGCTCACAGGGCTCACAGGGCTCACAGGGCTCACAGGGCTCACAGGGCTCACAGGGCTCACAGGGCTCCCCCACCTCCTACAGGGCAACTTTCACTCCGAAAAACCATAGCTAACAGACACGTCCTGGCAACCCCAGCGCAGAGGTTACCTTTCCCTTCTCTTCCTCTTCTTCCTCCGAGCTGCTCCCCGGGCCGCTCGCCACCGCCAGCTCCTCGGCCTTCGGCATCCTGAGAGATGTGACGAGAGCCACAGCCACGACCCGCCCGCCTTCTCGAGGCGCCAAACCCCGCCCCCATCCCGCCTCTCCACCAATCGCGCGGCTCCTCTGCTCCTCCAGCCAATCCCCTGGCTCCCTTGCTCTTCCCGCCAATCTCGCGGCTGGAGGCGCGAAGCCTGAGGGAAGCTGAGGGCTGTGAGGCGAGCGGGGCTGCGCTCCCACCGAATAAATGGGGACACGCACTGCTGGCCGTGCCAGGTCCCATCTCAGACTGTAAACCCAGCCCTTTCCTATCCAACTACTTCACTTTTCATTCTACAGAAGGAATGGAGCCCGTCCTGAGCACTTCTCCCCATGTAAGGGGGATATCTCAGCTTCCACAGTAAACGCTTCCCCAATGAACGCGCCACCAAACCTTCTCACTCGTAGTTTATTTTTCCAAAGGGACAAACAAACATGGAAATGGAAAACGTTAAAATATTAAATACTGTCACATCAGCAGGGAAAACAACAAAAAAAATATAGCACGTTCATCGACTGCATTGTCTTTGCTGCCAGCTGCTCAATATTCACTCGACGTACATTTGTTCCTTAGGATACGAACAGCTGTGTTAACCACACCAGATAAACCAACTCGTCCTCCCGAGCTGTTCCACATCACATTGTTCAATGGCTACAAATGGGAACGGAGCAAACCAGAGATGAGCCCACAGCACACCGAGGCCAAACCTCCTCCCTTCACATCGTTCACTCAGGGCTGAATGGCTCTGAACACCAAATCCAGCTTGACCCCGAGGTGCTGGGAAGCTCTTTACGTTGATTTGTGTGTTATGAGCATGGTTTAAAACAAAGCCAAACCCAAACCCGACGCCCGCAGCAGTTTGGGGCTCTGTGGGGCCTCAGAGGATGAAACAGATCGCAGTCACTCCTTCCAGCTGGTCATACTGCATGGTAGTGCTTATTTCACAAGGGTAAACCTCTCTTATTTGGGAGACAAGTTACAAAGCCTGAACTAATCCCATGTAACCCCCAGTGCCCGGGGTGGGGAATGGACAGAAAGAGTCCAATCAGTGTTGGAAACACAGATATCTGCACGTTGTGATCTCTGACAGCACCAGGACAACAGGCAAAGTTCTGCTTTTTTGGCTACAAGCGTAACTGCTGGCTTCTTGCACATACATGGGCATGTGCTCGTCATGCTCCTTCCTTCCAGGCCAGGCAAACTCCCAATTAAAGGCCAGGACAAAACAAGAGCACGAGAATCTGCTACAAGAGCTCTTCTGCAACGTTGTGGAGAACCTTTATTTTAGCACAACAGCCGTCGGGTTGCTGCTGCTGTGTGTCACGCGGGCAGTGAGATTCATCAGATGTGCTGCAGTATGAATCAGCACCCATTCACTTGTCACTTCAAAACGTGGCAGAACAGGAGGGGACATTTCCATGCTGCCCTGTCATCTCCCCCCAGGAAACGTGGCAACGCTGGCACTAAGCTCACTCCCAGGATGGTCGCTGTTCCAGCTGCAAGTTGGAATTTAACTATATAGGGCTTCGCTACAAGCAAACTTTGATCAGAAGCATAAACCCTTATCTGTAGTAAAAACGACTTTCTATGGCAGGCAGCTAGATGGACCAATTAGATGCTGGGACAAGTGATGGTCAAGCACAGAACAGTGCACTATTCCCAACTGCCCCTGGGGACGTGTGAACTTTCCTCCTTCATCTTTACTCATCTTGTTTTCAGCCAGCTCCTTCTGGCACTGCGTCAGGAGCATTACTTTATAGTTGAGACCACGAGGAACTGAAGTGTTTGCTTTAACGCTATAACCTCGACCAGGACAGAGCTGGAAAAGCGGAAGCTGAGAGTCTCCAACGCACAGAGGAACGCTTTGGGCCTGTCCTTCTCTCTCTTGCCAATTTTTATGTTCCCCAAGTGAAGCTGAAGGACGATTGCTGGTAATTCTGACTTTCCTATTTTGTACTGCGGTTCCATTAAGCCTGCTTAAGTAACATGGAGTGAAACGTGCCCCGTCCGTGGGTAACAGACATAAAGGCTGGGCTGCAGCTGGAGAGCTCTGGTGCTGCCTCCAGGCACTCAGGTGCTGTTCTGTGCACCTCCTGCATCTCCCAGCCCAGCTGCGCACCCTCCCAGCACGCAGTATGTGCGATATCCAAGTGCAGTGGAAAACAACCACAGCCCATCTTCCAGCAACCAATTTCTGAAGTCATTATACATTCATTTGGCAGAGGCCTGTCACAAACACTTCGTGCATACAGAGAGACATATTTCAAACAGGAACTCCGAGAAAAAAAAAGAAAAAGAAAAGGCAAGTTTTCCCGTAGGGATGATATTTCAGGAGCGCTCGGTGCCATGCCACCTGCTGATATGACAAGGAGCCACAGACATAGCATGCTCTCCTGGAAAAGAAAAGAACCTTTAAAGAACAAATTGCTACACGTTCAATATAGCAGAAAGCACGCATTATGGGGCAAAGCCAAGGGGGGAGAACCAGCAAAAACAACCGAGATGGATGGAAATACGTGCGTTGGTCCCCATCCAAAGGACGCAGACAGCGGCCATCAAAAAACCTTTTCTAAGGAGTGAGCGTAGAGCAGCTGAGATGCAGATAAGGAGGCAAAGCTGAATTCCTTGCATACAAAACAAAAAGGACACCATCGTTCAAACCCGTAAGAGCTTTTCATCCTCTGTAACAAGTGCTGCTTTTATTTAAAGTAGGGGTTTTCTAGTTTGTTTGGTTTTGGTTTTTTTTTTAATGCAGTCATCGTTGCCTGAGAAAATACCTCAATGTATACAGCACAAAAAATAAAGGATGGACTCAGAAAGACATTTTTGAGTGGCAGGACAGCAGAATTCAATCCCTTTCCCCTCTAGAACTACAACTAGCCTATAGGGCTTGTGGTCAAAAATCGTCATATATTCAGAACCCGGGGGTAAAGAGAGCACAGCACTGCCCTGAAAAAGCAGCCAGCTCTCCAGAAATAGGAAACGTCCTCCTCTGTGGTGGTGGCATGCAAGAAAGGCTTAAACTTCAGATGATGGCAATGCCAGAGCAATGGCTGCAACACTTCCAGGCGGAGAGAGCTAAAAGGGAGGATTGCTAAGGATAACAGGGAGCTCCGAGATGCACTCTCATAGTTACAATTCTCCAATCAGCCGTGTTTAAAACAACAATCATAACACAGATTGTGGGGTTTTTTTGTTGTTTCTTGGCTTGTTTTTTAATGGCCAAGAGTCTCGCCTCCCTTCTTACGCACTGGGGGTGGAGTGCGAAGGGAGGCAGCAGGGAGCACCTGGGGAATTTCGTTACACATGCAGGTCGAGAACGGCGTTTTCAGAAATAACAGAGCTGAAAAACATAAAATGAGACCCTGAGATGCACATGGACACAAATACAGCCCCAAAATCCAGAACCCATCTGAAAGCGCAAACTGAGGAACGAAGATCGGCCAGAGCTCAGCAGGAGCAGGGCTGTTCTTGCCATTAATGCCTAAATACACGAAACAGCCCAGAACGTGATCCTGCAACGTTTGAGACTGCAGGATGCCTTTAAAAACCAAGCAAGAGTTTAGCACGTAGTGGCAGCAGCAATCTGTGCAAGGACAAACTTGAAGAGAAATCAAGTACAAAGCAGAACGCATCCTCCAACAGGGGCAGGACGGCGCGTCCCGGTAAGAACCCTCCTGCAGGAACCCGTTTTAACAAGCTTTCTTCATCCCCTCCATAACAGTCAAGACTGTTTACAGTGTACCTCCAAGAAAAGGGAATGAGTTATTGCACTGTCTGAACAAATTGCATAAAGATGCTTGCTAGACACACTGCTTGCTCAGCACACCTCCCTAAAGCCAGGCAGTAAACTTAAGAAGAGGTACCATCAGAAAACATGCTAACAGTACTCTCTTTAATTTGCGTGTGCACATTTTCTTCGAAGCAAGTGCTCTGAGTCCTTGGTTTGCTGGGCAGAGATTAAACATCTGCTCTGTAGTTTCAGCTTCCGAGTTGGCTGTATGGCACAAATGCCCACGAAGGTGCAGGACTCGGGTTTACACTCACAGAAGCTGCTCAGCGTCAGCTGTTCAGTGTTTAAACAACTTGCAGGAGCTACGAAGTCTCTGAGCTTTTCCCTCGCGAAAAAAAAAAGCAAAGGAAAACAAACCTGGTGCAAGTGAGGGGAAGGGAAGCGCCTAAAAAGGTGCATAGGAGTTGAAATTTTGTTGTCTTTCTGCCTTCCTCTCCTCTCTAGGATAGCAAAGAGGAGAGAGAGGAAGAGAAGCAGCAGGATTCAACGGAAGGCAGGAGGTTCCTGGGCTCACCGATGGCTCAGTGCTGCTGTACACAGGACGACCTGTCGCTTCACTGCTGCTTGGTTTTATGGGATAATCTCTGTATCATCCTGTAAAGGAGACCGAAGTTCTGGAAGCAGAAGAAAAACGAGTACCTGTAAGTGCTTGCAAGTTCTACTAAAAAAACTGCCCTACACAAGGAGAAAATTTACTCAAAGGCTTAAAACAGCACTAACGTACAAATGCAGCACCTTGCCCGGATCACCAACAGCCTCAGGACTGCGTGGGATTCGGTCAATTAGGATCCAGTGGTGCCAGTTAACTGGGGCTGCACAGAAAACAGCAGCTTACAGAAATTCTGTGCAGACCTGCATCACTGCTACTGTGAAGATGCAAACGCTTGGTAAAGATGTTCGCTGCTTCAAATGCCTTAGAGGCTCACTGAAGTCTTTAACTGCATTCTGAGCCAGTAAAGCTACTGAGATGTCCGACGGACAGAACAAGATCAAATAATTCGTGACAGCAAACAAACACCAAGTAGTTTTGCACTGGGAAAGAAAACAGCAGGAGTGGGAAGGGATTGTCCTTAGCACAGCCTGAAACATCAACAGCAGAAGAGCCAGCCGTTCTGGATTACTTGTCTCAGAGTGGGATGGCATTATTCTCCCAAATTTGGCACTGGGGCTGCATAAGCACCACTTCTTGCAGCTAATGTGATTTACGAGGAAAATAAGAAGTTTGTTTCCTGCTTTTC